GAGGGTCTGACTGGTGCAGGTGGGATTGCCTGGAGCCTCTGGAGCTGCTCACCTGAGTGGGGACAGCAGAGCCTCAACCTCAGCACCTTCCCAGACCTTCTCTCTCCTGCCTGGCCAGAGGTTTTTGCTGGTGTCTCTCAGGCAACAGCAAATTTGGGAGAAATCAGCATCATTTCTGCTGGGGAAGGTGGAAATCCAAGGCAGCCCCGTTGCTATGGTTGCTGCAGACCATCCTGATGCAACATCACGTTAAGCAGCTCTGCAAGCAGATGTGCCACAGCTGGAAAGCAAAGCCATTCCTCCAGGTGTGAGCATGGCCAGGCAGGCCACACAGCATCCCCTGTGCTCCCACAGCCTCCCCTGGGGTGCTTGGCTTCATGTCCCTGTTCAGGACCCTCCCTGGCAGCAAAAATCCCCTCAGTGGAAGCAGCACTGGGGAGGGGGAGCACAGTAAACAGTAAATAATGCATGTAGGTGTTTAAAAGTAATGCACTTGGGATATTTGCCATTCAAACAGTGTGTGAGTGTCTAAATAAAGTGTTGGAGAGCAGGTGCAAATGCTGTTTGAACAAGGGGGTGCTGAATGTTGGCTGAGCACGACAACCATTCCTACAGCTTTTTTTCCTTAAGAAACTGGGCCAGGTTCACTGGGTCCATCTGCACCCTTGCACACTGAGGGCTCAGGCCCTGCCTCCTGCCACTCCTCTGGGCTTGCTGCACTTTGCTACAAGGCTGAGCACCCTAAGCTGTAACACACCTCATCAGAGGGCTGGAGGGGAGCCAGAGAAGGGGCAGGGAGTATGCAGAGCCCAGAGCCTGATCCAGAAGGGTGTTCAGGTGTCACCAGCTGCTGCTGGTTCCTGGTTCTCCCCTGGGCCCTGCCCTTTGCACTGAGAACACAGGTTTTGGGATGTCCCCCCGAGCCCCTGGGGTGCTCCTGCCCTTGTGCACACCGATGGTGCCACTGACTGTGCTGCTGGCTCTGGAGGTGACAGCTGGGATCTGCAGGGTTGGTCCCTGTGCCAGGAGCCAGCACAGGCTGATATTGCTTCTGCCACCTCTCCTGTGTCCCCTTGCCCGGCCCTGGTGAGCCCAGGGTGGGCTGGGTGGCCGGAGAGCCCCGCTCAGCCCCAGCCCCATCCCCAGTTCTGGGGCTGCTGAGCCCTTTCCCTGTGCACTGCTCAGGGCTGTGCTGGATCCTGGCTCTGCCTGGCTGCCAGCCAGACCTCCCGAGGGCCCAGGGGGCTGCTTCAGCTCATTGCTTTCCTTTCAGAGGCTTCAGAAAGCCGCCTGCCCACATTTAATTCAAATTTATTGAATAATTCTCCTGGGAACAACTAGTTCAGGACCAACCACTACACCAGACCATCAATGAGATCGGCTGGCACGGCCCTGGCTGCTGAGTGCTCTGTCCCCTCCAGCACAGCTCCGTGGCAGTGCCAGGGTGATGGTGCTGAGCACAGGGCCAGGCAGCTGGCCCAGGGCAGCCTTGGCTCAGCTCTAAACCTGCCTGCCTGCATTGCCCCCAGCCCCGGGGGATGTTCTGAGGTCTGTTAACATCCCTCTCACTTCCACCCCAAACCTGCTCCTGCCTTGGAGCCCCGTTCCCTTGGGCAGCAGCCCCAGAACGGGGCTCAGCCCTCACCTGCCCCCAGAGCTGTTGCCAGCTCAGCAAAGGGGGTGAGGCACATCCTGCCTGGGGGAGGCACGGGTACCAGGGAGGCACACCCCGCTGTGATGGGGTTCACATCCTCTTCAGGTTTCCATGGCCAGGTTTGCAGCCAGGGTTTACATCCATCTTGGGGCCACCAGGGATTGGCTCTGCTGGACATGGGGGAAGCAGAAGCCACCCCCACAGCCCTTCCCCCCACTGCCAAAACCTGGCCACACAAGCCCAGTAGAGGTGCAACAATCCGAGACCACCTGGACAGGAGTGGGACAAGCCAGGGCCAGGCTGGGAGGGCAGGGATGAGTGCCTGGCTCCAGCAAGGGGGCTGTGAGGATGAGATCTGACAGAGGTGGGCTTCCCTGAGGGAGGCTGCTCCCTGGGAAAGCCTTTTTACCCTGTGCTCAGCCCCAGGCAGAGTTTGGGGCATGTCCTGTCCCTCCTGTTATAAATGAAAATTGTCCAGCCAAATTTAAAATGAAAAGATAAAATATTTATTTTGCAATCAAATTCTATCTAGCCAGCCACAAGGAAAGAACAGAGCCGAGCCCGGGGTCGGCACCAGAAGTCAGCCTCAGCAGAGGTTTTCCTCTACGCCCACACACCTCCATCCTGGCACAGGCGGTTTTTATAGGGAAAATTCCGCCTGAGGCTAAGGTTTTGGCAGTCAGTCTTTTCTTCTATTCAGAGTCTATAGGTTAATAAGATTCGTGATGAAGAAGAACAATTCAGTGTCAGGAGTTGCTGAATCCCTTGATGAACTTTACAGAACGCTGCATTCACATGGATCTGCCCGAGGATTTCCATGAGATCCATCTCGGGTCGTTCACACGATGATCAGCGCCTGGGGTCCCCTTATCTCTCCAGACATGGCCCATCCCCATCCCTGGCCGAGCCACCTCTTTTTACGTGTAAATCGGGTTTTGACACACACCAGGTTTCGCCTGCGATGGTGGGGGCAGTCCTAATACAAACATGTATACTCCAACAAATATTCAATATCACACATATCATACTAGAAATGGTGTGAATTATATCTACTACACATGGCACTGCTTATGGCAGCCCGGGGGCTGTTCCCAAGGACCAGGCTGTGGACACGCTGCCCTCGTCCCTCTCCAGGGCAGCCCACCGTGTGCCGGCCTTACGCAATTAGCCGCTGCTGGGAGCAGAACTAATGATGCTCATTAAGGAGCGCTGCTCTGCTGGGTCAGTCCCGCTCGCCCCGGGCACGGGCTGCTCTGCAGCACGTACAGGAGGGCAGCTCCGTGCCACCCTCCGTCCTCCCTCGTGCCCTGCGCCGTGGGACAGGACCTGGCACTGCTTTCCTGCAAGGTGTGGTGCCAGGCAACGTGCCAGAACCTGGAAAATGGCACCTGTGGCTGTGATTCATCCTGGAAAGGGCAGGATGCCCAGGAACCTTCCTTCCCAGTGCAAGGGCTGTGCTGCAGTATGGGGCTGGGATACAGCGCCTCTCTCCTCTTCATGGGGTCCCTTATTCCACCCACACCCCCCTTGTCATGCTCATAAGCTGCTGACAGGCTGGAGGCACCACCTTGGCGTTCATGGAGCCACGGGGGGCTCAGCAAGCCGTGGCCAGAGGCACACACCGATTTATAGCCCCACGAGCCGCAGGGAGGGATACCCGCAACAAAAGGAATCGCTGCAGTCCTGGTTTGTTGTTCAATCCTGGTTTTCCTGGGCTGGATGCACAGCTGGCTCAGGGCAGAGTGCAATCCCAGCCTGTGTCCAGAGGGTGCCTGGGGAGGAGGGCAGGGGGCTGTGAGCTGAACAGAGAGAGGTATTGAGCAATTTCCTAATAAACCCCGCGTGTGTTTATTTTGGGCAGATTAGGACCGAGACGTGCAGCGCGCTCTGCCCCTTGCCAGGCTCGGGTTTGCCCCGGGCAAGAGAAGGCGCTGCCTTGGGGCTGTGCTGCCCAGCACTAGAAGTGGAATGTGAGCAGGGAAGGCGTCCCAGGCTCTGTGTGCTGCAGCAGAGCATCGCCTCCCGTGCTGAGGGCACGCGCGGGAAAGCACAGAGGAGCATTTTACAAATATAGCCGAGGAGCGTTTTTCAAACTCAGCCTCTGGATGCTCCGCAGCGGGTTTGGGGCCGGTCGGTAACGCACGACAGACGCGGCGGGTGGGTGGGAGCAGACTGGAACAGGCGCTCGCTGCTCCAGGCTTCCCCCTGGAGAGGCACTGTGCGCGCCCCCGCTGTTGGGAAGGCAGCTGGAGCTGGCCCTGGGCGGCGTGCCGGGGAGCTGAGGTGTCTCAGGGGATCGTCACCAAGAGAGGCCCCAGGGCCCTCCCTCCCACGGGGCACACGCGGGACTTCAGCTCCGAGGATGCCCTGCACTGACAGTGGTGCCCCGGGGGACAGTCACCCTCAGTGTCCCTCGGGGACCTTCACCTCTGAGACTGTCCCGGAGGATCTGCGCTTACGGGGACACCCTGGGGACCTCCTTCCCCAGACCTGTCCTCAGGGACACTTAAACTCAGGGGTGTCCCAGGAGCTGAAATGCCCCGCAGTAACCCTCCCGCGCAGGGGTACCCCAGCGAGCTGCTCTGCAGGGGACATACGAGGGGACCCTGTCCCCAGGGATGCTCCAGGGAGCCTGCCATGTCACGGCTCCCCGGAGAACACGAGCTGCTGAAGACACCCGCGGGGACCCCTCGCCCCGGGGATGCCCTCCCCACCGGGGATGCCTCATCCAGCGGGGATGCTGCCGGCGCTCCGCTGGCAGGGTGCGATCGTGCGGCTGCGGGCGGGCGGGCGAGCGGAGGGGTCGCTGTTGCCGCCAGCACGGCCGCCCCCCGCCTCCCCCCACTCTCCCTCCGCCGCCTTTTGTTCGCCGCCCGCGCTCGTCCCCGCCCGGCGGCGGCGGGCGGAGCCGGGGCCGGGCCGGGGCCGCAGCCGCAGCCGGGCCGAGCCCAGCGCAGCGCAGCGGGAGATGGAGGCCGCGCCGGCCGAGCCGGGTCCCCCCGCGCCGCCGCCGCCGCCGCCGCTGCCCGAGAGGAAGAAGAAGCCGCAGCGGGCGCCGTCGCCCGCCCGCCCCAAGGAGGTGCCCGGCTGGTCGCTGGCCAAGAGCCGGCGCGGCGGCGGCGGGGGACACCCGGGCGCGGCCCCGCGGCTGGCGGCGAGCGGCGCGCACCCGCACCCGCACCCGCACCCGCACCCGCACCCGCGGCGGCCCGGCGGCGGCAAGGACGGGCGGCCCGACAAGCGCGGCCCGGCGGGGGCCCGGCCCGGCGGTAAGGGGCCGGCGGGGCGCGGCGCGGCGCGGCCGAAGGGCCGGCGGCACGGAGCCGAGACGGCGGCCCCCGCCGCCAGAAGGAGCGGGTCGGGACCCCGCTCGGCACCCGCGCCCGGGCCGGGGTCCGGGCTGACCGACAGCAGCTCGGAGGTGTCGGACTGCAGCGCCTCGGAGGAGGCGAAGCTGCTGTCGCTGGAGCTGGGGCTGAGCGGCAGCGATGGCGAGTCCCCGGGCAGCGCCCCGCCGCCGCCGCCCTCGGCCGGAGAGGCGTCGCCGCTGCCCGAGGAGCCCTCGGCCGCCTCCGTGGCCAGCAGCCGCCTGCAGCTCAGCACCTCGCTCGCCTTCTCCGACCTCACCGAGGAGCTGCTGGACGCCGGCACCGACGGGCTGCTCCGCGAGCTGGAGGACTTGCGCTCCGAGAACGACTATCTCAAGGTGGGCACGGCGTGGCGTGGCGTGGCATCCCTGGCACGGCTCGGTGTGGCACGGTATCCTTGGGCAGCAGTGGTACAGCATGGCATCCTAGGGCATGGGTCAGTCAGGGTCAGCATCCCTGGCTGTAACGTGGTTTAAGGGCCCAGAGCTTTGCAGGGCACCTGAGGGCATGGCTCAGCATGGTGCAGCATCCCTGGCCTTTGCATGGCATGGAATCCCAGAGCAGGGTCAGCATGGTGCAGCATCCCTGAGCGCAACAGAGCATCCGTGGGCATCACAGCATGGCATCCCTGTGCACAGTGCAGCATGGCACAGCATCCCTGGCCATGGCACAGCATGGCATGGCATGCCCAAGCATGGCTCAGCATGACACAGCATCCCTGGGAATGGCATGACGTGGCATGGCACTGCATCCCAAGGTGTAGCTCCATGTGGCACAGCATCCTCGGGTCCAGCCTGGTGCAGTTCAGCATCCCAGGGCATGGCTGGGCACAGCTCAGCTCAGCCTGGCTCGGCTCAGATGAGCAGCCCAGCACAGCGTGGCAGGGTGCAGGGCTTGGCATGGCTCAGCCCAGTGTGACATCCCTGAACATGGCACAGGCAGAACTGACCTGGCATGCTGTGGCTAGGCTTGACTTGGCACAGCATAGCATGACTGGATGTCAGGTCTGGCTTGTCTAAGCCTGGCATGGCCACACTGAACTTAGAGCAGAGCTTGGCTTGGCACAGCATGGCTCAGCTGGGCATGGTCCAGCGTGGTGTACATGCTGGGCACTGCTCAGCTCACTGTTCCATGGCATGGCTTGGCACAGGGCAGCCTTTGGCACAGCATGGGCCGGGTTAGCCAGGCATGACCCAGCTGGGCATGGCTTGCCCTGGCACGGCCAAGCCTAGCATGGACCCAGCTTGGCATGGCAAGGCTTGGCACAGCTCAGCATGGTATGGATGTGCTCAGCCTGGTTGGGCATCCTGGGACACAGTATGGCATAACCTGACCCCGTGCAGCTGGGCATGGCCTGTCAGCTGGGCATAGCTCCCTGCTGCTCTCCCTGCTGCTGCTGCCAGACCCTGGGGACATTTTCCAGCTCTCTTCTTCCCTGGTTCCTGTGCTCCCCGGGGACTTTTTCCAGGTCTGCCTGGTTCATAGGGGCACGATCGAGCCAGGGCAGACGTGCTGTGAGGGGACAGAGACACTGACCCGTCCCACCTCTGGCACCAGCACCCACCAGGTGCCACATCCTGGGATGGCTGCAGGCATTTTCTGCCCTCTGCTCTCCTTCAGGGTGGAGCTGTGGCTGAGCTGCTTGGGCAGTCAGCTGCTGCTGAGCTCAGGGCTGGGTACCAAGGCTCCCCAGCTGCTCTTTGGGTGCTGCAGGTTGGAAGTCAGGCCAGCTCTCCTCTGCTGCTGCCCAAGTTTGTGAAAGTGCCAGGCTCCCAGCCCCGAGGTGGGCATTGGCTGATGCGCTGGAAGATGCTCAATCAGCCCTTTTGTCCATGAGCAAAGCCTCAGCTCACGGCTGGTGTCCCAACTCCTGCCAAAATTAGCAGCAATAGCTTAAAGGCTTTGATTTACTGGGAGCTGGAAAAATACAGATGAGGCCCCTGGGTTTCCAAGAACACGCGTGCGAGCGCTGCCATTCCTGCTTCCTCCATTTCCACATGATCTCCTTCCTGGCAAGCTGCAGGCCAGCAGGGTGTGAGTGATTTACCTGCCCTGAGGGGTGCCAGCTGAAATTCCCTGGCCAGGGACAGTGGGAGAGGGGAGAGCTGCTGGAGGCATGCAGCAGGAATGGCCATGGGGATGCTGGTGGCATTGTCCCTTCTTTGGCAGCACTTGTATCTCCTCCCTGACGTGTGCATCCTGCTTATATCCGTGTTTCTGTGTTGTAGCTCACTTCTCCTGGCTCTGGAGCAGGGGGTGACTGGGGTGGTACCCTGGCTCCAGCTGGGCAGAAGCCCAGAGCACACACCTCTTGTGCTCCAAAAAATGTTGGAAGATTTGCCTAGTTTTTCCAGCAAGGAGCAGAAAACTGGGCTGGGCTGCAGCAGAGTGCTGGCTTGTGCCATCTGTGCTAAAAATTCAGGCATTTCAGGACTTAAAACAAAAATAAAGCCCTAACCCGAGGGATTGGCACTGCCCATCTTGCCATGCAGCTCTCCTCCACTCGGGTATGGATGAATCAGACTTATCTCGGGTGACTTACTTCCTAGGACTCACCCAAAAAGCTGCAAATGAATATTTTTTTCGTGTATTCATCAGCATCAGCTAAAGCCTAGTGCGTATTTAGAGCGAGATGAGGATTTTTGGGGGTGGGAGGGCTTTGGTGACGTTCTGGCACGAGCCAGGCGTGTGTGGTGCTACTACGCCCGTGTGATGCACGCTGGGTTTGGGAGCTTCCCAGCAGAGCTCCAGCAGTGCCAGCTCACGTCTCATCTTTCCTCGGCTGCCATAAGAAAACCGACTTGTTTAAGCACACCTCACCCATTTCTCTTTGCAGCCCACATTTGTGCAAGGCTCTGCTTTCCTCCTCCCACTCGGGGTGTACTGGGTGGGCTGGGATCTCCTCTTGCCCCTGCTCTGGGGGCTGTGCACCTGCTGTGACCCCCCTGCATGGGTTATTGCGAGGTTTCCCCAAAAAGGGCTGTTCTCCCAGGCAGGTTGGCAGCCTGGTGAGGAGGGAGGAGGTGCCTTGGTGTCCTTGCCCGTCTCGCTGCTGCTGAGCTGTGCGATGGAGAGCAGCTCCCAGCCCTGCTCAGCAGGCTGGAAAATGTGAGATGTGATACGGCAGCAGCTGCAGAGGGACAGGCAGACAAAGAGTGGGCACGGGAGGGTTTGGAGCAAGGGGAGGGGATGCCTGCAAAGCCTTTCCTCTCCTCTCCAAGGAAGGGGTTTAGGCAAGAGCTCTGCAATGCTGGCAGCACAGCGCTGCCTGCCCTTCCCTGCTGCCTGTCCCCCTCCTGCTCCCTGCCCTGAGTCATGCCACATGCCTTCTGGGGCTCACATGCATGTCCCAGCTCTCTGGAGAAACATTTCGAGTGGCTGGGTGCCTTGTTTCTCCCGAGGTAGTCATGCCACCAGCAAGGGCTCTCTGAGAACATCCCACAGGGCTATGGGGGGCTGTGTCTGGTTGGCACTGAGTCCCTGCCCTGCTGCTGCCCAGATCCTGCCTGGCCACAGGTGCAGGGACCGTGCCTGGGAGTGCCGGTAACCACCTGCAGGGCTGGGGAGCAGAGCTCTGTCAGGCAGGCAGCCACCCTGGAAGGGGTTTTGCAGCCTCTTGCCTTTTCAGATGCTCCACAACATGGGAGAGCTCCCAGCTGTTTGCCTGGTAATTTATGGAGGCAGCTGTAAATCTGAGAAATGTTGATTTTTCCCTCACTCCCATTACCAAGGGGGAGCTGCCATGCCAGCCAGGGGCAGGGATCAACACACAGGCTGCTGCACTGAGCTCCAGCATGACATGGATGGCCGGTGTTTGCTGTCAGAGCTGGGCCAGAGCTGCTGTTGATGCACCCAGAGAAACCCCTGTGTGTGACATGGGTGTGCCTTGCCCATCCTTCCACCCATTGCACCCTGGCATGGGCTTGTGGTGCGCTGCATTTTCTGCGTTCTCCTTGCTGGCAGGGGACGTGCCTGAGCACCCTGGGCAGTTCCCTTTAAAAATCCCCTCTGGTTTTTCTTTTTTCCCTTAGCAAATTCAGGCATCATTCCCTGTGCTGCCTGACTGGTGCTCAGAGTTAATTGAAAGCTGCTGCTTTTGTGCTGTAATCTCAGAGGAAGCCGTGCTTGTTGCTCTCCTGCACGGTAATCCCCTTCTTTGCTCGGGGATCCGCAGGCACAGCCCTGCCAGCACAGCCCAGCTCTGCACAAAGGCGCCTCTGCCAAGCACCCAGGCAGCTCCCACCCTTCCTCCTCCTCTGCTGAGCTTTGGGGGTGCAGCTGGAGGGTGTGCCCCCCAAAATGCTGCCCATCCTCCCATGGGCAGGCTGCTGCTGCTTGGCTGTGCCCCAGCGGCTGGGGCTGCCAGGGTTGCCACAGCCAGCCGTGGTTGCACTGCATGAGCCTGTTTTGTGTCCCTGGCTGTTTTCTGCTTCTTGGAGATAGCAGGTCCTGCTGGCTTGCACAGTGTGTGCCCCCTGCTCTGCTTGGAGCTTGCTGCATTCTTGCAGGTGCCAAAGTCAGCATGTAACTCCCCTTGGGTAGGAGATAGGAGGGTTTAATTCTGCTTCTGCAACCTGTAATGAGTCTGGTCTGCACTCTGAGGTGTGCTCTGCCATCTCCACTGGTCCCTCTCCTGCCCTGTCACTGCTCAGGGTCATCACCCTAAAGCTCAGCCCTTCCTGAAAGAGCTGATGTCCCTCAAGTGCATGTGTGGACACAGCTGTTGCCTCCTCCTGCTGTAAAAATGCATGGTTTCTTTTTCCTGAACTGGAAACAGGCAGTTTGCATCCCACCTTTCCGCTTCTTAGTTTCCTTAATAATCTCCCCAGGGAGAGACAGTGTCTCGGAGGTTTGTGTGGAGGAGGTTGAAGGTAGGTTGTCTCTTGAGCTCCTCCACTGAGCATAACCTGGCTCCTGCAGCCACGAAATGGGGTGTTTGCTTCTGCATACAATCCCTGGGGCATTCAAATGAGTCTCTCTGGACTGCGGGTTCCCAGCGTTTTTTTCTGAGACAGATTTCTAGTGCAAAAACCCTGTGAAATCTTTGCTGCTACAGGGATGGGATGAGCAGAGTGCAGGGATGATCCTGAAGGACAAGCAGGGGAGCAGCCCAAGGGTGCTGGGAGGCTGTGACTCCACTAGGGATGGGCACCCTGTTGGTTACAGGGCAAGTGGCCCAGCAGGCACTCCCCAGGGGCCTTTGTGTTGGAGAGAAATCATTTATCTCCTCCTCAGTGTTGCCCACCTGTTAAATGAAGTTTCAAGCTTCATTTAACATCACCCCATGCTCAATGCCACCCCCTGAATTTGGGATATTTCAGTGGGGTTCCTCCCCTCTCCTGGTTCTGCTCTCACCTCAATCCAAACAGATTTTTTGCTGGGTTGGGCACCAATTCCAGAAAATGTGCAAAGCATGAGGCCCTGTGGCCATCATGGACCCCTGAAGCTGTGAGGGGACCCCAGGTGCACCCCCTGTGCTGCCTCAGCAGATCAGCTCTGTCCTCCAAGCTCTCTTCCAGTTTGCTGGCATTTTTCCACTCTCCAATCCTCATCCCTTTACTGTGGTTTAGCAGCAGGGCTTGGCTCCGTGGGGCAAACTGGGGCAGGCCGTGCGCCTGCCAGGCTGCATCCCCTCAGAGGATTTATCAGGTTCTGGGATGTGGGTGAATTCCTGCAGCTGGAGCAAAGCCAGGCCCTGCTTTCCCAGCCCCCAGTGCTGCAAACCCCCCCAGCCCCACTCCGTGGCTGTGCTTCCAGGCTTTGCCCAGGCTGGACACAACCTCCCCCTAAAATAACGGTTGCTACAACCCACAGCATAAACAAGCTCTTAGCAGGGCAAGCCCAGGCTTTCTTCCAGCAAATGCAAGATGTGGTTGGGTTTTTTCCAAGGGCCCTGCTCCCTGCCCTGCTCAGCTGCTGCCTGGGAAAGCCACATGGCAAGTGAGAGCTGGAATGGGCAGCACTGAAGGAGGATTGCAGTTGTATTCAAGCCACGATTTTGGTGGTGAAAGGAAGGCTGTGTTCCCCACCCGCTGCAGTGCGCCTGCTCACCTGCAGTCCACAATGCTTTTTTTTTTTTCCTATGAAAGCTCCCAAGGAATAGATGCCATAAACCAGCTCTCCAGGCTGGTGTGGTTTTATGGGGTTTTGCTGATGCCCCCAGGGCTGTGGCCCTGCCAGGGTGGGAGGTGGCAGAGCTGGTGGGGAGTTCCCATCGAGTTTGTCACCCCATGGTGCATCCCTGCCCTTGCAGGAACATGTGGAACATGTGGTTCTTCCCTGGGGGGTTTCACACCTGACATGTCCAGGAGGTTTTCTCAAACAGTTCTGCAGTGATGGCCATTCACAGGGCAGTCTCTGGCTGTCCCTGGAACAGCCAGTGTCCCCAGGACCCCTGTGCTCATCCCAAAGCCTCGGGGCTGTTTCTGAGACAGCACAGAACAGGATCTCTTCTCAAGACCCTCTGTGGAGAAGCAGAGCAGCAGAGGGTGACAGGGCCCTGGTGGCCATGGTGCCACCTGGCTCCACAGCCCAGGCCAGCAGATAATCCGGGATTGTCTAATTGAGGTTCCTTCTTTGTTACGGAGTGTTTAAAGCCAACAGTGAACGCCTGTGACTTGTCCCTGCAGCTGCCGGCCCTTTCCCAGGCTTGGCTTCTCCTCTCGGGGAGTTCTTGCAGCTGGGGCTTTGTCAGGCTGGGTGAGTGTGGCAGCCACCGTGCCAGTGCCTGGCAGAGCCAGCACAGAGCTGCCATCTCGGGCTCTAGGTCACTGTCACAGCAGTGAGGGGGCAGTCCCCTGTCCCCTCTGCCCAGGGTGAATCAGGGCTGAGCATCTCCAGTGCCTGTGCCAGATGCTTTTGTTCCCTGACCACGCCATGGTGCAGAGCAGCAGCGTGAGCCACTCACTTCTCAAGAGGCACGTGCATTTGGCAATGTCAGCAGTCTATAGTGGCAGGGGTTTTGGCAGGAAAGCAGATGCCTGATCCTTTCCCAGGAGGGGTCCTTGGTCTGGTCGAGGAGAACAGCCTGTGTGGTGGGTGGAGCGTTTGCTTGGGGGATTTGGGTTGACATCATGTTCATGGTGACATGGACAGAGCTTGGTCAGTCCCCAGGGACCAGAGGGGACAGTCCTTAAGCATCCCCAGTGACCACAGTCCTGTTCTGGATGAGGAGGAGGCTCTGGGTCAGTGTTGGTGCCAGCAGGATGTCACCCTTGGCCCTGCTGTGACAGTGATGCAATTGCTCTGTGCCAGAGGCTCTGCTGTGCTGGAGGAGGTCACTGGGAGAGATTATGAGACTGGGGAGAGGTGGAACAGAGGACCCAGCCCTAGGACTGCTGCCTGATGGCAAAACAAGGGGAAACCTCTGGTCTCCAGCACTGGTGGCATCTGGTTCATGTCCCCACATTGCCTCCCCTAACAGCTGTCCTTGCCTGCCATCTCCTCCTTCCCTCGCCTGCCTCCCTGACACATCTTTTCCAAAGATAACCTAATTTTTCTCCCCGTGGCTGCTGCCTGAGCTGCTCCTGCAGCTCCTTTCCCTCCCCCACCTTCCTCTTTCTTTTACCACAAATATTCTCAGGCGCTTTTGTTGGCTGTTCCCCTTCACATGACTGGCTCACTCCTGGGTGATGGCATCCAGCTGGCTCTGAGCCTTTTCCTGCAAGGATTGGGCTTGGCCCAAGGGGTAGAAGAGCTGTGAAAATGGCTCATGGGATGGATGGATGGATGGATGGATGGATGGATGGATGGATGGATGGATGGATGGATGGATGGATGGATGGATGGATGGATGATGGATGGATGAGGGATGGATGATGTAGGGATGGATGATGGATGGATGGATGGATGATGGATGATGGATGATGGAGGGATGGATGGATGGATGGATGGATGGATGGATGGATGGATGGATGGATGGATGGATGGATGGATGGATGGATGAGGGATGGATGATGGATGGATGATGGAGGGATGGATGAGGGATGGATGGATGGATGGATGGATGGATGGATGGATGGATGGATGGATGAATGGATGGATGATGGATGGATGGATGGATGGATGGATGAATGGATGGATGATGGATGGATGGATGGATGGATGAATGGATGGATGGATGGATGGATGGATGGATGATGGATGGATGGATGATGGATGGATGGATGATGGAGAGCCATGGTAGTGGGGAAGTGTCTCAGGGGAAAAGAGGGCAGAGCAAGCTGCAGGGTCTAACCCAACATCTCCCTGCAGGATGAGATCGAGGAGCTGCGCGCCGAGATGCTGGAGATGCGGGATGTCTACATGGAGGAGGACGTGTACCAGCTGCAGGAGCTGCGGCAGCAGCTGGACCAGGCCAGCAAGACCTGCCGCATCCTGCAGTACCGGCTGCGCAAGGCCGAGCGCCGCAGCCTGCGCGTGGCACAGACCGGCCAGGTGGACGGCGAGCTCATCCACAGCCTCGAGCAGGACGTCAAGGTCAGCCTGGGAGGGCACCTCCCCACCCACACAGCCCCCAGAGCCCCCACAGGGGGTTTGGATGAGTTGTGGGCATGGAGGTGGCAGGGGATGTCGGGGTGCAGGGAGCTCTGTGAGGATGTGCAGTTTGTGATGCTGTGCAGTTTTGTTGGAGACATTCTAATTCCCTGCTAGCAGCGTTGATGTGGGAAGTGGGGAGGAGTGCTTTCAGCTCACAGGTGGTCTCAGGGGGTCCTGGTGGTGGAGAGGGCCAGCAGTGCCTGAGAATGTGCCATATGTGAGGCTCATCCTGTGCAGGCTGGAGCCCAGCCCAGCCCTGTGCCCTGGGGCTGAGCTCCCTTATCCTGCTCCTGTGGGGGTGTGATGGGGCCACCATGAGCATCACAAGTGTGCAGGGGGCCCAGGACCCTGCAGGCTTGGGAGCTGCTTCTCTCGGCCATCAGGAAAACCTTGCAGAGCCCCAGGCATGGTGGCATGCGGGGCTGGGGCAGGGACAAGAGGATTTCTGCAGGGTGACGTTGCTTCGCCCTCGAGGAGCCTGGGGAGTGTTTGCTGAGGGCTCTCACCAGCCAGACTGCTGCCAAGAGGGGTGTGGTGGCAGTCGGAGACAGCTCGGGATGGATGTGCAACAGCTTGAGGACTAACTTTGTTTTTTGAGCAGAAAAGAGCTGGTCCTGGAGCCAAGACATGCCAAAAGCACGGGGCTGTGAACCTGCCTCGCTGCCCATCCCTGCTGGGGCCCCAATCCCCTCCTCAAACCACCCATCAGCTCCCCCCCAGCTTGGGTGGCTGCTGCCAAAAACACCCCCTCCAGCTTCTCCCTTTCTGGGAAAGAAAGCACAGCCCATCCTCGGGGGAACAGGAGCCCAACCCCACGGCCTGAGATCCTGCAGCAGGGCTTGCTGCTGCCTCCATAGTGCTGATAGCCCAGGCTGTGCAGGAGACCAGTGGCATTTGGGACAATTTTTACTGTCCTGCAAATGCAGAAGGGAATGTTTAGTGTTATTAAGCTCCCTTTATGCTGAGGACTGCTCCTGTGCAGGGATCTGGAGAGGGGGAGCTCTGGGGTGGATGTAGGCATCCTTCACCCCAGGGCAGCTGCTGGTTTTTCTGTAATGTGATGCAGCAGCTCGCCTTTCTCCTGGCCGGCACAGCTGCTGCCTGCAGCGACAGGCTGCCTGCTCTGCTGCTGCCTACCAGCTCTTCCAGCCTTCTGGGGGCTTCTCCAGCTTTGTGGTATGGGGAAAAGGTGATTAATATCTCCCAGCACCATGCTAGGGCTGCTGGGGAAGGCAGGATTTGGCCAAGGGATGGGGATGCAGGGCAGCCTTGCAGCTGGTGAAGGAACAAGAGCAGTCACAGCAGATGATTGAGGGGACAGACACAAGGGCCAGGGGGTCACCTCCCACAGGGTCCCCCCAGAGGGTCTCAGTCACTGCCTGGTGATCTCCACATGCGGACTGTGGGTGCCCAGGAGCTGTAGTCTCAGCCCCCTGCACATTGTGCCCAGTCTGATGAGAGCCCTGCTGTGTCCCCAGGTGGCCAAGGACGTCTCTGTGCGGCTCCACAATGAGCTGGAGGTGGTGGAGAAGAAGAGGATCAGGCTGGAGGAGGAGAACGAGGAGCTGCGCCAGCGGCTCATCGAGACCGAGCTGGCCAAGCAGGTGGTGCAGAACGAGATGGACAAGCTCCGAGAGGTGAGTGGGACATGGGAGGGGGACCAGGAGGTGTCCCCAAGGCTCTGCTCATAGCAGGTGTCCTGGCCCTGGATCGTGGGATCCCCCAGCCCTGCCTGAGTCACTGAAACCCAAACCGTGCTACAGATGCTTGTGAAACCCGAGCAGCGCCTGATCCATCCCACCCTGCGGGCACAGCCTGGCTCTGCCCCATCCAGGGGGCCTTGGGACTTCCCCATTGCTCTGGGGGCACTTTATATGTCCCTGGCCACTTGCTCAGCCAAGCCCCCTGGGCCATGCCCAATTCCATGTGGGCAAAGCTCCGAATGATGTGTGGGGTCCCTGTCCCTGGCAGAGCCTGGTGCTGGCTGTATCCTGACCACATCCTGCATGTTCAGACTGGGCTGAGATGTCCCAGCAGCGTCCCAGTGGTGCTGTGGAGCTGGGTGGGTGCACAGTCCCCTCGATGTCCTGGGCAGTCACAAATGTACCAATATGCACAGGTCCAGGGCACTCCATGTCATGCTCTGTTTGGGACCAGCTTCTAGCCAGGATCTGTGTCAACCTCGGTGACAGGAAAGGCATCCTGGTGACAGCATGGACTTGAGATCCATTGCAGCCCTTGTAACCCACTTCCCTACTGCCCGGGATGCCTTTGGTCCCCGAGGAGCCTCGGGATGTCTCTGGCTGAGCCATCAGGCCAGTGTGGGGGAGGAGACACAGCCAAGGCAAGGCTCTCACTTCCCCCACTGTGCTTCCTGCACAGACAGCTCAGGATCTCTGGGGCCATCCCTGCTAAAAGCTGAGCCCAGCTCTGGGAAGCTGCAGGATCCAGCTGTACCCATCCTCTCCCAGCCATGCCCGTGCTGGTGACACTCAGCAGCATCCCCCACTCGGGGTGTCTTGCACAGTCCTGCTAACAGCCGTGAAATGGGTTTCCCTGCAGCCAGGAGCACCAGCTGAATAACAAATGGCAGCAGTGGGAGCTGGGCTGGAGCTCTCCCGCACTCGGAAAACAGGCAGGGAAATGGTTCTGGGAAACAGGCAGGGAAATGGTTCTGGAAAACAGGCAGGGAAATGGTTCTGGGACACAGGCAGGGAAATGGTTCTGGAAAACAAGCAGGGAAATGGTTCTGGAAAACAGGCAGGGAAATGGTTCTGGAAAACAAGCAGGGAAATGGTTCTGGAAAACAGGCAGGGAAATGGTTCTGGAAAACAGGCAGGGAAATGGTTCTGGAAAACAAGCAGGGAAATGGTTGTGGAAAACAGGCAGGGAAATGGTTGTGGAAAACAGGCAGGGAAATGGTTCTGGGAAACAGGCAGGGAAATGGTTCTGTGGTCAGCTGGGGAGCTGTGAGAGGCAGGCACTGCCCTGCCCTCGGATACGGCCCCTCCTGCAGCTGCCTGAGCCCTGGGGACACTGCTGGCTGGCACAGGCTCAGAGATGGTCCCCAAGCTCAGGGTGGGACATCCCCAGGCTAAGAAGGGCACTGGGGTTGCTCACTGATTGCAGAGTGCTAATTAGGCAAACATTAGACAAAGTGGGCTAAAAGCTCTCCTCCTCCCTGCTGCTGCAGGGCACAGAGCCTGGCAGAGCTTGTTAGCAGCCAGAGCCAGGGACTGTGCAGGGCTGCACTCACCCCTCGGGGCTGATTATTCCTCCCTTCCAAGAGGTTTCTCCCATAATTGGATCATTGTCTGGGGATCATTCCCGAAGGCACAGGCATTTTCCCCTTTTCTGTCTCCTAAAGGGGTCGGAAAAAGCGGGATCAATCTGGGTACCCCATGCCAAGCCTGCCACACCAAGCTTGGCTGGGACAGGACCCTGGGCATGGCCACCCCACGGCTGCTCCCAGGGTGGAGCAGTGACAGGCACATCTGCCCCAGGGCGCTGTGCTGGGGCTGTTTGGGGCTGCTGCTGCCCTTTGCCAGCTGCAGTCCTCAGCTGGTGGGGGTGAGGGATGTGATGTGGCACAAGCAGCCCCTGGGAGAGGCTCTGCAGCTCCAGCAGCTCCAGGGATGGTTGTGGCCTTAATAGGAAAGCCGGAGCCCTGCACCTTGGCACAGGCAGCAGCTTACATTTCACAGCTGCTTTCTCTGGCTGCTGGGCCTCAGCACCAGCTTGGAAGGAGGTCCAGGGCAGCTGCAGGGATCAGCCAGCACTCATGGGAGGCTGTGTGGATGTTCTTGAGGGTCTTGCCCCAACTCCCTTCCCCAGATAACTGGCTCTGCTCTGTCCACCTGCATTTTAACCGTGCTTTTGGTCTGCCTTACTGCTCTGCCTGCCTTCCTCACCTCCCAGCTGTCATCGCTAGCCTGGACATTGTCCCTTGTGTCCCCTTGTGACCTTGACAGCAGAGTCAGCATCATGCTGAGGGACGAAAAGGCGATGGGGAATGTCATCAGATGGGGAATGTCATCATCTGCTGCTCCCACACTGGAATGTCGAGAGAGCTGTCCCTTGGCCTGGGGGTTGGATTCCCTGCTCCATCCAGCCCTGACAGGGACAGTGACTCAGCCTCTCCACTCTCCATGGCTCATTTCCTGCTCACTCCTGCTTTTTCACTGCTCCTTTGCCTGCAGGGGGAATTTCTGGCCAAACCTCATGATGTGATGCTTGCCACTCCAACTTCCTCAAAGCAAAGGGCCTCCCTCAGCCCACCCGGTGCTTTCCTGGGGTCCAGGAGCATCTGGGAATGTCAGCAGCAATGTCCATCCACACCAAATCTGTCTGTCTGTCTGTCACTGCTGGGGTGCAGGGCCATCACTGTGGGTCATAACTCTCTCTTCTCTCTGCAGAACTCCCTGAAGAAGCGGGGGTCTCGCTCCTTGGGCAAGACTGAGAAGAAGCCGTCAGTGCAGGTATTGGCACCTGAGCCCCCCGGGCACGCCACAGTGACCCACCAACGCCCCAGGTCACGGTGCCAGCTGGAGACTGAGCCCAGACAGGAGTAAACCCGGGCATGGCAGCGCCATCCCCTCCTTGCAGGGCTTTGCAGAGCTTTCCTGCCGCTCAGAGCCCCTGCATAAGGGCGGGATTGATGTGCTGGGCCATCCTCTTTGTCCTCAGCCGCTCCCTTGTCTCATTTATCAATGGAGCAGCAGTGGCTTTAACCCTTTCCCTGTGTAAGGAGCTGTTTTTCCTGTGTAAGGAGCTGAAGGAGTTTGGCTTTTACGTTGCAAAGCTGCTGCTGCTCTGGTGGCTCTGGCAGCCCGTGTCCCTCCTGCCAGCTGTGCTTGAGGGTGCTCTGGGAGCATCACGGGGTCTGGGGGAGCAGAGGGTCCCTGTGGGGATGGCTGGAGGCCACATCACTCCTGCCCTCCCAGGCTGCTGGGGCAGCACAGGGAAGGGGATTTGCCAGTGGCAGCAGGATTTCAGCTGTCATTTGCTGTTGAGCTGAGCTGCTGTGACTCGCTAATGCTGTTACCAGGCTCAGAGAGGCAGAGCTGCTGTTGCAGGGATAGAAAGGCAAGAGGAAAAATCCTCTTTCAAAGGCAAAAGACCTGAAGGGTTTATTTTGGGGAACAGATCTGCTCCCCCAGAGCTGGGATACAGAGGCAGACCATGTAAAGACAGTCCTGACACGCTGCTGAGTGTCCCCTGGCAGGAACCCTGAGCAGCACAAGGGGTTTGGGTGACCTGTGTCCTTGGCACCAGGCCCTTCTGTGCAGCCACAGGACAGAGGCCCCCAGGCCCTCAAAGACTTCAGTCTTTATTATCACCTCACTTTAACTGAATTCTTAAGAGCCCTTTCTGGCCAGCTGGTGGTCCCAGCTTCCTTCCCCTCATCTCCCCAGAGAGCACATACAGCCAGCTCTGCCTTGAGCTGATGGAGAGGGCTCCTCCATCACCCCTTTCCCTGCGGCTGAAGCCCCTCATCTGCCTCCTCCTGGGGTAGGAAACAACCCCAAGCCCCTCTGCTTCCCCATGGAGATAAGACCCTTCAGCCTGGGGTCAGGGTGGCTCCAGGTGTGTGGTGGGACCAAAGCTCCAGGAACTCTGGGCTTCCCCGGGTGCAGAAGCCCCTGGATGTGGCCCCATCAGCTCCCTGTCCCTGCTCAGCTGTGGCTGCTGGCCCTGTGGGCACAGATGCTGTGACTCATCTGTGGCTTCCTGGGCCCCTTTCCTGCCTGCCTGAGCTGGGTGAGCATCAGCACTCCCCAGAAATGGAGCTGGGGGGGACAGACTCAACACTGAGGTCTCCCCAGACCCCAGGAGCATTCCAGGTGGTCTTGGGGACATGTGTGTGTCTCTTTGCTCATGCCAAAGCATAGAGAGACACACTGGGTTGCTGCTTTTTTTTTATTTTTTTTTTTCCCCTTGGAAAAACAGGAACTGAGGTCATGTCTGCCCTGCCTGCACCAGCCCTCCCCTAATCTCCTCACCTAATTAGGGGGGCACAGCTTTAATGCGCCTTAGTGAGGTCGTGTCCCAGTGCACAAGCATGCAGGGTGGTTCCTGTGGGCACTGCAGATCATTTAGGGAATAAAATGGCACCCCAAACTCATGGGAACCCCCTTTCCATCACCCCTGGCCTTGTTATGAGCAGTTCAGGAAGTCTGCAGAGTAAACACTGCTGTGGGGTTTGGGGTGAGCATGGGTGGGGCTGGGGGGTCCAGAGCACCCAAAGAAGGGGACAGCTTGTTTTTGCCAGCAAGGAAAGGGGAAAAGGGGTGAGTTCAGCCAGGCAGAGGGCTACTAGGGCCAGCAGCCACCCAGCCAAAGGGCTTGGCCACCTCCAGCACTGCCCAGCTGCAGCGGGTGCAGTGAGGTGAGGGTCACAGCCCAGCAGGTCCCCTCCTGACAGTGACCACGCCGCAGCTCGGAGCGCTCCAGTGACCCCAGGGCACAGGAAGCTGCGAGCTGGACGTCAGGAAATCCTGGTCCTCCATCCAAAAAGCTCCTAGAGCAGAGAAACAGTCTGTCTGGGCAAACAGCCAAGATCCTAACTGCTAAATAAAAAAAGAGCACATGGAGGAACAGTCCTGAGAAGCAGAGGGGCTTGGGAAGGGACTAGGGAGCTGATGCTGAGGCTTTGCCTGGGTTTTCAGTGCCCTGGCAAGGTGGAGGGACTTTGAGGGGTTTTCAGCCGCTCTTTTCCCTGTGATGAGAGTGGTGGGCTGAGCAAGAGGAGCAGAGCCCTGACGAGGACATTTCAGTGCCAGTTTTGGGGAGGAGACTTTAATAACCCTGTGGAGTCTGCCCTGTTGTGGATTAGGCAGGACTTGGTCCACACATCCCTGCTGGTGGCTCAATGTCCTTCCTGGGGCAAGACCTACAGGTCTCCTCATCCAGGGCATCCTGTCCCGTCTCCAGGCTCACCCTGAAAGTCTCCAGGATGAATCTCAAAGCTTTTCCTCCTTCAGGAGCAGAGCCAGCAGCTTCCCTGGGATGACTGGTGTGGGAGGGTGGCATGTCCCCAGGGCTCCCTGGGAATCCTGTGGCCCCTGGGAGCATCTTTCTAATACCCAACCCCTCTGGGTCACCAGGAGGACAGCGCAGACCTGAAGTGCCAGCTGCATTTTGCCAAGGAGGAGTCTGCCCTGATGTGCAAGAAGCTGACCAAGCTGGCCAAGGAGAACGACGGCATGAAGGAGGAGCTGCTGAAGTACAGGTCCCTGTACGGGGACCTGGACAGCTCCCTCTCCGTGGAGGAGCTGGCTGACTCTCCCCATTCCCGGGAGGCCGAGCTGAAGGTCCACCTCAAGCTGGTGGAGGAGGAAGCCAACATCCTGAGCCGGAGGATAGTGGAGCTGGAGGTGGAAAACCGCGGGCTGCGGGCGGAGATGGATGACATGAAGGGCCAGGGGGACAGGGAGCTGCCGGGGCAGGACACGCGGTTCCTGGTGGGCGTCTCGAGCTGCGGGGACGCGGGGGACACGGTGGCAGAGCTGCGCCGGCACCTGCAGTTCGTGGAGGAGGAGGCCGAGCTGCTGAGGCGCTCGCTGCTGGAGCTGGAGGACCAGAACAAGCTGCTCCTGAACGAGCTGACCAAGTACAAGTCGGACCACGAGCTGGACGTGACGCTGTCGGAGGACAGCTGCTCGGTGGTCAGCGAGCCCTCGCAGGAGGAGCTGGCCACGGCCAAGGTGCAGATCAGCGAGCTCAGCGGCAAGGTGAAGAAGCTGCAGTACGAGAACAGGGTGCTGCTCTCCAACCTGCAGCGCTGCGACCTGGCCTCCTGCCAGAGCACCCGGCCCATGCTGGAGACCGACGCCGAGGCCGGCGACTCGGCACAGTGCGTCCCCACCGCCGGCTGGAGGGACGGCCTGGGCGGCGGCGAGGCCGACGGGCAGGACAGGGGGCTGGGCAGCGGGAAGGTGCCCGATGGCCCTGCCAAACTGCTCAAGCCCAAGGACCTGGAGACCTTGCTGGGCATCCGGGACCAGGCGACGCTGGTCAGTAAAGCGATCGATGTCTTGATTTCGGACGCCAATGGGTTCACCGCGGGGCTGAAGGCTTGCCTGGACAATGAGTGTGTGGGGGTGCTGCTGGGCGAGGCGGTGGGCAGCGGTGGTGACAGCCCCAGCGATGCCAAGCTGATGAACGTGCTGCTGATGCGGCTGGGCGTGCTCCAGCAGGACCTGGGCTGCTTCGTGAGGAAGGTGGACCACCTCACCGGTGGCTTCAAGGAGCACACGGACTCGTTCCCCTTCTCCAGCCCCAGCGGCCACGACGTCACCAAAGAGCATGCCTCTGACTTCCAGGTACGGCTTCTTCCCACATCCCTCACAGCAGCTGCTGCTTTATTTGCCACCACGTTTCCTCCTGCTTTAACGGAGCAAAACCTGATCCCCAGTGTAACCTCAATGCTGCCTCTCCAGAGCAAAATCCAAACTAACACCTCACGGCATGCCGGTGGCACCGGGGACAAGGTAGGACTCTGCTCCAACAGAGTGTGCCCAGGGCAGGAGGCAGTGGACATCCTGGCACGGGCTGGTTGTGCCAAGGCTGCCCTGCCTATGGCCGGGAACTCTCAGGTGCAATCCCACCTTAGCAGGGGCTGATGTTTTGGCTGCTCTCCCTGGCTTAGCCCAACACTGTGTTTCTGAAGCTCTTTGCTTGTTGGATATGAGCTGGGTGGGAGGAGAGCAGCCTGCAGCTTCCAAAAGCAGCCCAAATTGCAGGGACCCCACTTGCAGGAATCCTCCATCCCCAGAGGCACTCAGGCAGAATAATTTGAAGAGCAAAGGCTTCAGGGCAAATCTGCATCCAAGGGAGAACAGCTTTGGAGCAGTGCAGGGCAGCTCGTGACCTGCAGTCCTGCTGTTCTCAGGGGTCCCAGCTCATGCTGGGGGCTGGGGGTGTCAGTGGTGGTTGGGGCTGCAGGCACAAGCCCCTTTCTGGAGCACACTCGCTTGTTCAGAGTCCTATTGTTCTGCATGTGGTCCCCCCATCCCGAGGTCCCAGTCTCCCCCAGTCACTGCATGGCACCGTAACTGGTGTTTGCACATTTTTTCCCTCTTTCTCTCTTTTTTCCCCTTTCCCCAAACAATCCAGTCCACGTGTCTCCTCATCCTGTGTTTCCTTTTAGTTTCTGCATTGTCTCCCACCATGGTGATGAAGCTCCTTCTCCTCCTCATCCTTTTTGTTGTCTTGTAGTTCTTTACTGTTTCGGAGACCCATTGTTTTGTTTTCTGTTTTTTGTTTTTCTTCCCGCTCTTTTGGTTTGTTCTCATTAACTTGCCCACGCATGCAGCAGCCTGATTTTAGGGACGCCGACCCTTTCCGCATCCCCCACACCAAGGACACGGACCCCGCCCATCCCCGGAGCTACAAAACCTGCCGGGCTGAGGAGAACGACTCCTACGCCACCGAGGTATGGGAGCCACGTCCCCTTGGCCAGCGGGGCTGGGGACAGGGCTGTGGGACAGGGTTTTGAGAGCTGGGGACAAGGGAAGCTGCAGAGGGACACAGGGAAGTGCAGGCCAGCTTTCCCATCCCCTTCTGGGGCTGTTCCAGATGAAGGAGCTGCAGCTGGTGCTGTCGGAGGCCAACGAGAGCCTGCGGGGGCTGCAGGAGCAGCTCTCACAGGAGAGGCAGCTGAGGAAGGATGAGGTGGAAAACTTCTCACAGAAGATCTGCCAGGTGAGTAGGTAACAGCCTCTGTCCCTGAGAGACAGCTGTCCTCAACCTATGGAGGTGCCACCTCCAGCCCCAGCCCTGTGACCCACGTGAGGACCTGGGTGTCACCTGGGAGCACACACAGCATGTCCCATTTTCGAGGCTGAGCACACTCCTCCTTGCACATGGAGCCAGTGCAGGGCTTCCCCCGTGGCCCTGCTGTCCCCAGCAGGATCCCAGGGTGGTGCAGGATGGGGATATGGGGCTGGCACCAGGCTCAGCCCAGACCCTGGGGAGGAGACATCACAGTGCCTGTCCTGAAGCCACTCACCTCTCCACAGCTGAAGGAGGACCACCAGAAAGCACTGCTACGACGGGAGTTTGAGCTGCAAAGCCTGAACCTGCAGAGGCGGCTGGAGCAGAAGTTCTGGAGCCAGGAAAAGAACCTGCTGGTGCAAGAGTCACAGCAGTTCAGGCAGAGCTTCCTCCTGCTCTTCATGAAGCTCAAGTGGTTCCTCAAGCGCTGGCGCCAGGGCAAGGTGGTGCACAGTGAGGGCGAGGACTTTTTGGAGGTACAGTGGGCTGCCATGGAGGGGAGACCACACTGTTAGGTGTGTCCCTCATGCCTGTTTGCCCTGCCCAGGGCTGTTTGGGTGTCCCCCATCCCTGGCCAGGGGCTGTGGGTCCCCATATCACCCCAGCCATGGTGTCACCCACAGGTGAACAGCATGAAGGAGCTGTACCTGCTGCTGGAAGAGGAAGAGCTAGCCCCACAGCAACAGGCAGACAACAAGATGTGTGCTGGGGACACCTGGACCCCCAACACGGTGAGCAGGCTCCCCACAAGCCCAGGGGGTGGATCAGGTAGGATCAGCCCCTGCTGTGGCTGTGTGGTGTGGGCTGGTGGCTCCTCTTGGGGAGCGTGCCTGGGTGGGGATGCTCCTCACCAGCACATCACCCCTGGGGATGGTCCCCTGCCCTGCTGGCTTCCCCTGTCCCTCACCTTTGCAGCAGCCTGCAGGGCTGGGATGCAGAGAGGGCAGCTCCCACAGCGTCCCACCCTGCTGGGTCCGCTCCTGCCGCCTGTGTTCACCCCTGTTCTCCTGCAGCCCAACGAGTGCATCAAGACCCTGGCAGACATGAAGGTGACCCTGAAGGAGCTGTGCACGGAGCTGCGGGAGGAGCGGCGCGGTGCCAGCGAGCTGCAGCAGCAGTTCACCAAGGCCAAGGCTGCCTGGGAGATGGAGCGCGCCGAGCTCAAGTGCCACATCGCCCAGGTGGGATGGGCACTTGTGGGGTGGCACAGCTCCCCCATGCCTGCTGGGGGCTGGGGGCCTGCCTGTGCCCTGTGCCAAGCACTGGGCTGGGAGCAGGGTGGCACTGTGGGAATCTTAATTAGCAGCCACTCAGGCAGGAGAGTTTCCATGGCAACGGGGCTGGCATGGAAATCTGACTGTGGAGCAGCAGAGGATGCTCTTTATTCCTCTGTCTGGGGAGGGTGGGATGGGACAGGGGCCCAGCATCCCTCCTGAGGACAGGCAGCTGAGAGCAGCATCAGTTCCCACCTCTCCCCCACCCCAAGTCAACGCAGGATCCCTGCAGATGCTGCAAAAAGGATGCACGGCTGCAGGGAAGGCAGGAGGTGGAGGGAGGGCAGCCTGGGCACTGGGGGAAGCTCCTGCCTGTAAGATGAGTCCCACCAGTCCCTCAGCCCTGCCCTGCCAGTGCTGAGAGGTTCCCTCTCACACTGTGCTGGCAGCAGCCCATGGCTGTACATCAGCTCTGCTCCTCAGCACAGGTGCCAGCACTTTCCAGGCAGGATTTCTCCTAGCAGGGCGTGAATCCCCAACTCCCATATCTCCTCAAAAGTGAGCAGAGCAGCCATGGTGGCAGCACCCAGTGGTGCTGTATCCTTGGGGGCTGCTCAGGCAGCACTGCAGGTGATGGTGCCCCTCTCCAGGAGCCATGTCCAGGAGCACAGCCAGGCAGGCAGGACATTCAGCCTGTGTCCTGCTGGGTGACCAAATGCTGGGCCAGCTGGCATGATGTGGCTGCAAGCCAGGGCTGGCCATGGCTTGGCTGTGCCATGGGCAAGCTATGTTGTGTGTGTCACATCCTTGGGGACATGCTTATTGCCCACCTGGCAGCATGGGACTGGCTCTGGCAAGCGGGATGCCCGCAGCCCTGCCCATTTGCTGGGGACGTCCAGCACCACACTGGAGCCTTGGGTCCCTCACAGCCACCACCGTGTCCCCACAGCTGGAGTCAAAGGCAGGCAAAGGGATTGCAGAGCGTGCGCTGCCAGACTGGAAGGTGGCACTGAAGAGAGAGCGTGAGGAGCACCAGCACCTCCTGGCTGAGTCCTACAGCGCTGTCATGGACCTCACCAAGCAGCTGCAAATCAGCGAGAAGAACTGGAACCAGGAGAAGGTGGAGCTGCTGGCTCGCTTCAAGGAGGAGCAGCAGCAGGCGGAGCAGCAAGCGAAGGACCTGCAGAACAAACTCAACCAGGTATGGTGTCCCCCATCCTGCACGTGTCCTCCAGCCTCTGCTGCTTGCCCTGAGAACGTTTCATGCTTTTGCTTGCCCAGAGAGGCTCATGTTGCACCTGTTGAGTGACCAATACATTCTCCAGTTGCAGAAAGGATCCAATCCATGGGCACTGAAGCACTCTGAAATGGAGAAGCATGGCAGCAACTGGAAGGAGGTGGGTAAGAGGATGGAGTGCTCTCAGGATGCTGTTAGGGATCAGGTCTCTGCTAAGATGGGAAGATGTGTGAACCCCAATTAACACCCCCTTAAATAGCAAATGAGGCTGCAGGGGAGAACAGCAGGAGAATGAGAGCGTGAAGGGTCTGGCTGAACCCCAAGAGCTTCTGTGGGGTTATAAAAAGCTGGTTTTAAATAGACATGATTGCAGCAAGCCCCACGCAGTCCTGGGACTGTTGTGCCTCTGTGTGGGGAAGCTGGTGGTGCAGGAGGGGAGCAGGATGCAGCCCCTGAGCTCCAGCCCATCTCTGTGCTCTGGTCCTGTGTTTGCTGACCCTGGAGCTTTCTCCTGTGCCCTCCTAGGCCCTCAATGAGAAAATCACAGACAAGGACACAATCTCTGAAGCAGAAGCCAAGGGAACCAACCTCAAAAGGTGAGTATGCTGGTGCCTCCATAGTCCCTGGAACATAGAGGGGCCCCCTGGGCTTGACATCCCTGAGACTCACAGGGGAGATGCAACCCTGTTCCAGGGTAGTCCTGGAAGTAAAGGGTGCCCTGTGAGGAGCAGGACTGGGTGCCCAGAAAGGTCCCATTGGGGTGGGAGCAGAATGCCTCAGCCATACCCTAACCCCCTTCCCCGCCCCCTTTTGATTATTATCCTCTCTCCTCCCACAGGACCAAGTCTGTTTCCTCCATGTCAGAGTTTGAAAGCTTGCTCGACTGTTCTCCCTACCTCTCTGGAAAGACCGTGCCAGGGCTGGGTGACCATGCCCGGTGCAAAAAGGCATCCTCAACCACCCAGATGCTGCCCAACGGGATCCGGGACAGCGCCAGCCTTCCTCCCTCAAACTGTACATATGTGAATATCGAACAACCTGCCCCTGACAGCCTGGCCAAGGAGAAGCTGGGCATCTCCTCCTGGGACTACTCACGGGCAAGCAGCCTCTCCGGGCACGACCCAGCTCAGAAACAAATCCAGAGGAGCTACACGGCGCCCGACAAGACAGGGATCCGCATCTACTACAGCCCGCCGGTGGTGCGGAGGCTGGAGGCGCCTCTGGTGCACAACAAGGAGGGCAAGATCATGATCGAGCCCGGATTCTTGTTCACCATGGCCAAGCCGAAGGAGCCGGAGGAGTCGGCCAGCGCCGAGGGCACCTACAGCCAGTGGCTGTGCAACTTCTCCAAGCAGCAGCAGGAGCTGCTGGACGGGGGCGCGGGGGAGAGCGCGGTGCCGCCGGTGCCGCGCTTCCCCCCCTCGCTGCACGACCTGGAGATCTCCGGCAACATGAGCGACGACATGAAGGAGATCACCAACTGCGTGCGCCAGGCCATCCGCTCCAGCTCGCTCGAGAGGAAGGTGAAAAGCACCTCCAGCCAGACAGTGGGGCTGGCCCACGTGGGCACACAGACCATCCAGACGGTGAGCGTGGGCCTCCAGACCGACCTGCCCCGCGGCGCCGGCATGCACGGCAAGAGCTGGTCCCCACGCAGCTCCTCCCTCGTGTCCGTGCGCAGCAAGCAGATCTCCTCCTCCCTGGATAAGGTCCACTCCAGGATCGAGCGGCCATGCTGCTCCCCAAAATACGGCTCTCCAAAGCTCCAGAGGAGGTCTTCCTCCAAGCTGGATGCCTCCAAGGACAGGAGCCTGTGGAACTTGCACCAGAGCAAGCAGAACGGCTCTGCCTGGGCCCGCTCCACCACCACCCGCGACAGCCCCGTCCTCAGCAACATCAACGATGGCCTGTCCAGCCTGTTCAGCGTGGTGGAGCACGCGGGCAGCACCGAGTCCATCTGGAAGCCGGGCTGCCCTGAGAGCAGCCGGGCCAAGCCCGAAGCACCCAAGTATGGCCTCGTGCAAGAGTTCTTCAGGAACGTCTGTGGGCGGGCGCAGAGCCCCACTGCCGCCCAGGACAAGAAGGAGGCCACTGGGGAGGAGAGCAAGAGAGCCGAGCACCCCAGCCCCGCCACCTACCACCCAGCCGAAAACATCTCCCGTGTCTTGAATAAGAAGGTCCTCAAGCAGGGCAGCTGCGAGGACCCCAAGCCCTCGTCCCCTGGCCAGGGCAGTAAGGACGCAGCCCTGCGGGACCCCGACCTCATCTCGGCTATAGCCAGCGAGGTAACGAGGCACAGAGCCCCCCGGGGTGTCCCGCCGTGGCGGGGGACAGGGTGCCTGACCCCTCTAACTCCGCTGTGCCCTGTCTATCTTTGCAGGACACGGCGTGTGACTGCAGCTCCCAGTCCCTCACCTCCTGCTTTGCCCGGCCATCCCGCTCCGCGCTCCGCCACTCCCCCTCCAAGTGCAAACTGCACCCCGCGGAGCCCCCCAGGGCGGAGGAGAAGCCGGGGGCCTCGAGTGAGTGAGGACGGGGGGCCGGGGGACGCAGCGTGCCTGCCATTGCCATCCACTGTCCTGCCCGAAGAGCGCCCGCGCTGAGGGCCCCTCGGAGGTGGCGCGGGCTCATCTGTCTCCTAAACGTCCCCTCGGCCCCGGGGACGCTTAGGAAGCAGATGTGGAGCCGGAGGCTGCGGGGACGCCCTGGCAGGGTGGCTGCAGCACCGGTGCCACCCGGCAGTGCCAGCTGAGACCCTGCCGGGCCGAGGGCTCGCGGCGCTGAGAAAGGGAGAGCGGCCAGCCGAGGCTGCTGGTGCCCACAGGGAGGGCAGGGCCGAGGGGTGATGCTGCACCCGCCCCGCGGATGGAGGTGCTGGCTCCGGCTGCTGCCTGGGCTCCAGCGTCCTCCCACGGGCCCGTTGCAGCGCGGTTGCATCAGCCAGGGCAGCGTGTGCTTCCCCGGCAGGAAGGAGGAGGGAGGCTCCCTGTGGTCACCCTGGCTGGGGCCCTTCTCGGCCGCCCGGCTGCTCTTGGGGTGCTGCTGGAGCCCTTGGGTGCTGTGGTCTCCAGGCTCCTCCAGCTGCAGAGCTGGGATCACTGGGTGCACAGCGTGGGGAGAGGTGCCTGTGCCTCTGTGTGTGTGTGTGTGTGCACATCCCCTGCTCCCAAGGGGCTCTGGTGCCCCTGCCTTGCACCCACCCCCCTGCTTGGGGCCACTTGTAGTTATTTCTTCTCCAAGTGCTGAATATACATATTTTTCTTCTTCTTCTTTTTTTTTTTTTTTTTTCCCTTTTCTCCTTTTTTTTTCCTCCACTTCTGTCTCTGCCCAACTCCGGACAGCCTACAATGTAAAACCAAGTGCATTTTAAAAATACCGAAATGAGCTACATTGGAGAGGCACCAATTGGATTAAGAGATTGTGGTTTGGGAGGCTGCAGCGTGGCCCATGGTCTGTGCCGCACATCCCTCTGTCACCACCAGAAAAAGCCTTACCAGGGAGGGAGGGGGCAGCAGCCACAGCCCCCACAGCACTGCAGAGCTCCTGGGGCTGGGGCACTGTGACCCAGTCCCACACAGAGCAGCCTCTGTGCAGCTCCAGGAGAGAACAGAGATTTCTGAGGCAGCTGCCTGACCCATTTTCGAGCTGCCTGCCAGGGGCCAGACAGGGATTCACCCAGATGGAGCTGCCTGCAGGTGCCTGGGTCTCACTCATTGCTCTGGGGCTGTGTGCAGGAGTCCAAGAGCTCTGCATTGCTTTGGGGCTCTGTACAGTGCACCAGGGGCTCTGTAAGCCCTTCCAAGGCTTCTGTGCATTGCTCTGGAGCTCCGTACACCACTCCACGGGCTCTGTGCATTGCTCTGGAGCTTGGTACACCACTCCAAGGGCTCTGTGCATAGCTCTGGAGCTCTGTACACCACTCCAAGGACTCTGTGCATTGCTCTGGAGCTCTGTACACCACTCCAAGGGCTCTGTGCATTGCTCTGGAGCTCCGTACACCACTCCAAGGGCTCTGTGCATAGCTCTGGAGCTCTGTACACCACTCCAAGGACTCTGTGCATTGCTCTGGAGCTCTGTACACCACTCCAAGGGCTCTGTGCATTGCTCTGGAGCTCCGTACACTGCTTCCAGGGCCTCTGCACATTGTCATCTCGCAGTTTCTCTTAAGAATTGCTGGTGCTGTTGAGGCTGCTGCCCTCTCCTGTCCGGCCGCTCGCTGCCCGCAGCAGCTGCTGCATCACTGCCACGTTGCAGCCTCCGTCAGCATCTCCACGACAGCCGCTCACTGCCTGTGTCCCCGGACACGCCAGCATCAGCCAGGGCCCAGCAGGCCCAGGACGATGGCCTTTTGCTCCTGCAGCACTCGGCCAGCCCCTGGGGGACCCTCATCACCCGGGTGGGGGACTCAGGGCAGGTGCTGCCCACCCTCACCAGCAGCCAGGGCCCGGCTGTGCCCCTGCCTGTCATGGAGGACTTGGGTCCAGCACTGCCACGAGCAATCTCCTGCTGTACATAGATATTTTCGGGGTGGTTTTTAGCATTTTCATGGATAATTGGGGTTTTGGTTTGGTTTGGTTTTTTTAAAAGACTCTCAACTTTTTGGAATGTGGTTTCTCATTTTTACAACTGCCTTTTAATTATTTGTAATATTGGTCAGTTCTGTCTTACTCTGTAAATAGTGGTGCTGGGCATTTCCCAGGGGGGCTGAGACGAGGCTGGCAAGGAATTTGTGGGGAAAATTTGCTTGAGGTGTGGAGCTGGGTGATTCTACTCCAGCCCCTCCATGTATTCTGCCCTTCCACATGCCCAGCCTGGGGTGAAACCTGAGGTGTTTTGGGTAAAGCCACGCTTGCCCTTGCCCTGTCCTCTTGCTTCCTCTCACCAGCCCATGCCAAGGTCGCATGAAGGGCACCTCCTGCCCCGATGACAGGCTCTCTGCCCACGCCATCCTGCCCCCCTGTGTCATGCCTGCTTGTTGTGTGATGAATAAAGGCCCTGCAACCCCTCGCCCCCACCCTTGGTGCTGTCTTCCCCTGCTGTGGTGGGGGGGCTGTGCTGCCTGTCCTGTCTGGGGCAGTGCTGCTGCAGAGGGAGGTGTGGGGTGACATGATCCTGTGCCTCTGTTCCTGCCATCCTGCCTGCTGCCCAGCCCACACATGGTGTCCCATGCTCTCCTCACCCACCTGTCTGTCCCTGACACCATCCCTACGTGCTGACCCCAGCTGTGCCACACCACCAGGGCTCCTTGTCAACTCCTCACTGCCAGCACGGCCACCCCACACCAGGCTCCCCTCAGCTCTGCATTGTCCTCGTGATGCTGGTGTTTGTCACAGCTGCCATGTCCATGCCAGCCTGCCCAGCAGCTCACCCAGCCTGCACACACACCCACATATCCCCCTGCCTCTGCTGCCATGGCTCCCTGCCCTTGTGCCCCTTGGCTGGACTCGATCACCTCAGAGATCATTTCCAGCCTTAATGGTTCTGTTATTCCCTGATCACCTGCTGGTCCCAGCCTCCCCTAGGGTGTGCTCCATTAAACTCCCGCCCTGAGGTCCTCCATCACCCACCAAAACCCACCCTCTTTCTTTTGCTCTTCCATCATCCTTCATGTCCCATCCCTTTCATCCCTGCTCTTTGATCTGCCACGTTCCATCCTTCTTTATTGTGCTCTTTCATCAACCCTAACCCAACTCAGCCCTCCTTCCTCCTTCCTGTGCTACTCCATCCCATTCCTCCTTCCCATGTTCTATCACCCACCATACCCCATCCCTCCTGTGCACCTTCTTTTATGTCCAAACCCTTCTTCCACTGCTCCTCTGTTGTTCACCTGTCCCTCCTTCCTTACAGTCATCTTCTGTGTCCCATCCTTCCCTGCCACGCTGTGCTCCTCCATTACCCACCGTGTCCCCTCCCACCCTCTTGTGTTCCTGAATCCTACACTGCATCCTATCCCTCCTTGATCTCCAACACCCACCACCTCCCACCCCTCCTTCCTGTGCTCCTCCACTGTCTTCCACATCCCACCCTCCAGTGTTCCTGCCACACTTTCACCTATCCCTCTAACCTGCTCCTTCATTCACCATATCCTGTTCCTTACCTTCATTCACCACCACCTTCTCATGTTTTTCCTTCTTCACCTTCACCCTCCCCCATCCACCTTGCCTTGCTTTGCCTCCAGCTTTTCCTTTCATATTCATGTCAGCAGCTCACCATCTTCTTCAGCTCCCACCGTCCTCTACATCTTGCCACCAGTTTATCCCTGCTTATTCTCCATTAGTTCCCACCTTCACCCCAACCTCCTCCACTCCTCATCTTCTCCACATCTTTCTTCATCCTCTTCTTTCTTCCTATCTCCTCTCTCAACCTTCTTCACTTCCCCATCCCAAAATCTACCCTCACCTCCCACCATTTCACCATTCTTTCAACTGCTAATGTCACCCAATTTTACCTTCTCCACCTCCACGTTTCCAATCCCTCTTTGTGCTTATCCATTTCCCATCTCCTTATTCATCCTCCTTCACTGCCTTGCAGTCTTTGTCTTCTTCTGTTCCCTTAGTCTCTCGTTCCTCCTGTCATCCATGTCCATCTCCAAGAGTTTCCTCACCCCTCCTTTTCTTATCCATCTCCCCTCCACCTTTTTCCCCACCACCTACTATCTAATCTATCCTTGGTTTTCTCTTTGATTTTGTCAACCTTCTTCATTCTCCACTTCCCACTGTCTTCCACCCTTCCCCGTGCCCCACACCACCCACTATTTGCCTGTCCTTCCTCACCCTCCACTTCCTACCATCTGCCCAGTCTCCTCATCCTCCCCAACCTCACTGTTCATATTCATTGTCCTTTCCACCATCTTTCATCTCCTTCACCCTCCATCTCATCCTTCATCCTCCACCTCAGTTCCTCCTGTGACCCTCCACTTCCCATTGTTCCCTGTACTTTTTCCTGCAGTTTCACCTCTTCCCTCTCCCTCTCACACTCGACACCCGGCTATCTCTGTCATTGTCACTGTCCTCTGTCATTTGTCCCCCACAGTGTTCCTGTTTCTCTTTATGCTCCTCCACTTTTCCCCGCCTTCCTATCCCTTTTTATCTTCTGAGTGTCCCACCAACCTCACAGATTTCCCTCTCCACGCCTCCTTGACCTCCAGCCGTCCTTCCTCACCTCACAGCTCCCTCTCTAACTGGCCTTACATTCTCCTTCATCTCCTACCTCTGTCCTGACTTCCAATCTTCTCCCAGCCTGACCTCTCCCATTCCTCCCTGCACATCTGACTCCAGCTACAATTTTCTGCTTCTCTTCCCACTTCTTCTGCCTTATATCCCATCCCTTACTGACCCAGGAAAGCCACTACTAACTCAGCCACCCCAATGCACACAATAAGAAAACATCAGAAAAGACTTCTGGGCTAGTGCAGCTGGAACTGGTCATAGGGGAAAAGGGGATCACCTCTGCCCTTGGAAGGTTTCAGTAACTCAGCCAGACAAAGTCACCAGTGTCGTGATCTAACATTAGCAATAACTGATGTGGAACATGGAGCTTGACCAGATTCCCTTAGGATCACTTCCAGCAATGAAGGATTTCCAAGAGGGGCAAGAAAGGCCAGGAATGGCTTTGAATTCATTGCTTGGGATGCTGTAGAACATGAAGAATTATCCCTGCCACTTGCAGCTGCTCCATGGTGCTCAAGCAGACCCAGCATACACTGCTCCAGCAGGACCATCCCATGCTCCACAAGGACCATCCCACTGTGCTCAAGCAGGGCCATCCCAAGCTGCCTGAGCAGCACCACCCCAGCAGGACCATCCCATGCTGTTCCAGCAGGACCATCCCACCCTGCTTGATCAGCAGCATCCCAAACTGCTCCAGCAGGACCTCTCCAGGCTGCTTGGGCAGGATCATCCAATGTAGCTGGAGCAGAACCTTCCCATGTTGCCCAAGCAGGACCACCCCATGTCACTTGAGCAGGACCACTCCAGGCTGCTTGAGTACTGTGGACCAACCCAAAGAGGCTTCCTAAAAATGCTGCCAGCTCCCAGGCCAGTGAGTGATCCCTGAGATGTCCCCTCAGACCCAAGAGCCAGGGATCTTTCATCATTCTTGTTTTCTGTCTCTTGGGCTGGGCCCTGCAGGGCCATCCCCTTTCCAACAGCCTTGTGGCTGCAGTAGGGCACCAGGCTGCTGGCAGTGCTGCCAAGGGGGGGACAGGTTGTCTCTCCCTGCCAAGGGAGCTCCAAACCCTGCAGGATCTGCATGCAGGGCCTTTTCAGAGCACCCCGTGTCCCTCGCACAAGGGCCAGCCAGCCTCACCTCCCTGAAGACTCTGCCTTGCCATGTAGGAGGCTGCCAGCCATCCCATGGAGGGGAGGATGCCCTTTCCTAGGGGATGTCCCACTGCAGGGACAGGGCACCCAGTGTCTTTACAGGGTGGGTGTGACATTTGTAAAGCATTCCTGCCCATATGCCTTCCTGGCTGGGAAATCTGGGGGAGGGTGGAGGGAATTTGCTACCTGTGTTAGGAACTAGCTGAACTTACATGTCTCCCCAAGCTGGATTTCTTATTCCAAATGTTCAAACTGTTGTATATTGTACTGGGATTTTTACATTGAATTATTGTAGAAAACAAAAATTTAAACCAAGTCTGTTAAAAAATAAAAATCTCTATGAAAAAAAATAAATGTGAGCTTGTCTCAAAGTCCTCTCCTTACAAACGTGCCAGAGCAGGGATGTGTCGCCAGCGGTGGCTTTCCAGCGTGAGACCACACCACCCTCTGGTGTCAGCACCGACCTCAGCTCCGTGCTGGTCCTGCTCCAGCTGCCAGTGCATCCTTGCACCGCCTTAAATCCTGCTCAGTCAAAGCAGATCCATCCTGCTCCCAGCACATGGACATCCCTGCATGGCGTGGGGCAGGATGTGGCCAAGCCAGAAGGAAGCAAAGCAAGAGCAGAGCTGCTTTGTTGGGTGCTGGCATCACCCTCACAGCCCCACTGGTGCTGTTTCCCAATCTGCCCGAGTGTGGGATGTGCTCCTGCATCCACATGGCCTCACCCTGGGCATGGCTGAGCCTGACCCAGATCTCCAGCTATCGCTCCCTGCTCAATAAAACAGGGACAAAAGGAGGCAGCCCCGTTTATGGGAGTGAAAGGACACACTCTGAAGCCTGGGGACAGCTCAGCAGGGCAGCTGTTTATGAAACAAACCCCAGTCTCCTCGCTGTGCTGCTGATGAAGGCGCTGCCTCTCCTGAGGCAGTTTCCCTTCTTCTGCAGCCCAGGCTTCCAACAAATCTCTTACCGACCTGGCCCCTTCTCCCAGAATGAAAATAGCACCAGCTGGCAGAGCCCAAGTAAACAAATGAGCCACTGTGAGAGGAGAGAGCATCTTTATAAGTTAATTGGCCTCATCTAAGAGTCAGACAGACATTTTCCTGTGGATAGATCGCTCGAGAAGCTCAGGCAAACAGCACTAACATGTCTCCTGGGTTTGATTTATAAGCCTGATTACATTACTAGCTCATCTCCATATAGAATGATTATGAATATATTGTCTGTACTCTGCAGAGGGCTAAATTACCAGGCTCTGATATTCATCAGCTACTCCTTGAAGCTTACAACCTCCTCAAATTCAGAACTCTCTCTCCCAGTGACAGCAGGGGTACAAAGGATACAGCTCAGGGTTGATCCTTGTTTTCAGCACAACCTGGGCTGTTTTAACACCCTGATTAAGGGGTGGCTGGAGGGAGGGAGCAGCCTGAGCCAAAGGGCTGTGGAGCACGGAAGTGCCAGAACCCAGAGCCAAGTGTATTGGTATTGAGCAGTTACATTTACAAACAAAGGAGCTGATAACTCCCAGCAGGACTGAAGGGCTCTTATCACGGTGCTGATTAAAATTTGCTCTGCAGACGGGGAGTGTCCTCAGTGGGGAGACAGAACAGGCCGGTGTTTAACCCTGTTGCTGCTGAGGGCTGATTCATCCAGCACAAGTGAAGGGCTGCACAGCCTGGCTAATTTCTAAATTAGCCCAGAAAGCTCCAGCAGGAGGATCCACAGCCTGGTCACATCCTCTCAGTCCATCTCCTGTACCTCCCACTGCATCTCACCCCTGCTCTGCAGGTCCCAGGAGTTTTTGCTGGTGTCACTTGTTATTCCTTCCAGATCCTTTGCTCTTTTGTTCTGTCCCTCAATTCTCTGCCCTTGCCTGTGGTTAAAGAAATCTTTCCCTTCCCACTGCAGGATATTCTGATAAAGGCTCCCAGTGCCTCTGGCGTGGCCATGCAAGGCACAAACTTGTTTGTGCTAAGTTCACCAAGAGTAAAATCTATGCTAAAAAGATGCCTGCTCTGATTAGCATCACTGACAGGTGTAACACCCAGCTGCTGAATCTGCCTCACCAGGCCCTGGTCCACACTGCCCTGCCCAGGAGATGCTCTGGGAGGAGTGGAGAGGTGGTTGGAAAGGAGGTGGCTTGCTGTCCTCCTCCAGACAAGCCGTCACACTGGTGCCTTGGTGTAGCTCAGACACCTCCGAGCCTCCCTGGGTTCCTTCCTCCACTGCTGTGGGCCTCCTTCCTGCCTGATCCCCTCAGTGATTTGCATGAATGGGGATGTGATTCCCATATTTATTGGAAATAAGGCCAATCAGAAAGCAAAGCCCTGTGACCCCTCTTGGACCCCCAGGTAAGTCACCTGCTTACCTGGAGCAGTATTTTGTCCAAATTTTAGCACCAGTTTCCCATGTGAGGCTGCCTCCTGCTCACCCCACCAGGATCAGGAGGTCTGAGGTGCACAAACCAGTTCACACTTTCCAGTTTCTGTCCCCCACCCTCAGCATCTCCAGGACTGAGACCTCTCATGTCAGGGAAGATGCAGTGAAGGGTCCCATCACAGCTGCTGAGCTGCTGTGGGTGCTGCACTAGAGAGGCTGTTTCCAGAGTATCCCAAGTTTCTAGAGTATCGAAAGCAGAGTGTGAGCAAGATACCCCATATCCTGGCCAATACATTTTTTTGACCCTCTGAGTCTCTTCAAGAGCCCTTAATATACATTAACCTTATACTTTAAGTAATTTAATTAACATACACCCTTTAAGTACTTTTATTACTTTACAGGATGAGGCAATAGAGGGCCTAAAATGCAGCTGATTTTCCAGGACTGCCTGGTGAGTTAGGAGAGCTGGCATCAAACTCTGCAGCATCCAGCTTCAGCACACACCAGGCCCCAGGGCAGGAGCCCAGCTGGATGCAAACTGCCCTGGGGTAGAGGAACTGGAGCAGCAAAGCATGGTCACACAGCAGGAGCCCCTTTCCTAGATCCTATAAAATCACCAAGGGAAGGCTGGGCATATCCACAAAGTGTCCAAGGCCAGGTTGGAAAGGGCTTGGAAAAACCTGACCTGATGGAAGGTGTCCCTGCACATGGCAAGGAGCTGGAATGAGATGAGCTTTAAGTTCCCTTTCAACCCAAAGCATTTCATGATTCTGTGGTTTTTCAGCTGTGAGACACTCAAATGAAAATGTGAGGAGCGCTGTGTTTGTGCCATGGGGGTCTGACTGATGGTACCACCTCTGTGGTTCACAACCCTGTACGCAGCTGCTTGGAGACTTACTGGAAGAGGAGAGAGCTGGGGAAAACAACAGGAGGCTGTTTGCAATTTTCTGCTTTGCAGGTGCTTTCTGAGAGGAGATGCACCCTCTCCCCATCAGGAGCTTCCTGGGCCACAGCTGTGGGCAGCTGCAGCATAAAACAAAATTCCCTGGCTGCAGCAGCCCAAGCTGGCCAATGTTGAATGAAGGACAGCTGTGGGGCTCGTGGGACATGGTGCTGCCCCAGCCTCATGGCTCAGAATGCTCTACACACACAGGCAACAGTTGCTGGACAGAAATCACTGTCACTGAGGCTGGTGGGGGATTTCAGCTGGCCAAATCACTGAAAGCAAAAGGCCAATGAGAAAGGAAGCAGAAAGCACCTCCCAGATCCGCAAACTACCTCTTCACTGGCTCTGGGACACTGTCCTGTGACAAGGAGAGTGACAAAAGTCCTTTCCCAGCAGTGGGGTGAATGACAGCCCCCTTCCTAGCACCTAGGGGGACAGAGGGTTTGTTTAAAAGCTGCTGGTAAATGCAAAATCCCTGGGACACAGGCTGCTGGAACTGAAGGCTGGCAACTCGTATCAGAAAATTATCAGTGTGAGGTGGCTTGTGAAGGATCAAGGGGTACTGGGCTTGTCCCACTTCTCAGGACAGGGTCACAGTGGTTTCCAGCTGGGGTTAAATGATGTGCCAAGTGTACCCAGAAACTCATGAAGCTGTTCCCAGACCATCAATCCAAAGGGAGTGCTGGAGCACAATTCCAATAGCTCCTGAGGAGCTTCAAAAA